GCTAAAACGCGCCAAGCCGTAACCACTTTACGCGTGTGCATATCCTGGTAGGCAGCCGTCACGTCTCCCAAACAAAACCTCCATCACGGTATCTCCGACATATCCAACCATGACGACAGTAACTCTAAACTAAACCCGTCCCAAACCTGGATATTGAATTGTCCAATCATCCACCGACAAAGATCAATGAGCTTAGTATAGCATAAACATCAGGTTTGGGGATAGAATGGCTTCAGATGGCGCCATCAAGGCTATTGACCCGAGCACGGTTCGCCTACTTCCTAATGGTAACCCGGCACCAAAGAAAATTCAACTGATCTTGCTTTTCCGTCCTTCAGATCCATCAGATCCAATCTGGTCAAGTCATCGTCGACCTTTGCTCCGTAGCCAAAGAACTCGTAGAAAACGCCCTAGATGCTGGAGCGACGACAATCGGTATGTCGCAAGATATCTGTCCATGCGAGATATGAACAAACACTAAAGAATCACCAGATGTCCGATTTAAGAACCAAGGCCTCGATTCGATCGAAGTCCAGGATAATGGCAGTGGAATATCATCTAGCAACTATGAATCCATCGCGCTAAAACACTACACTTCCAAACTATCCAACTACGATGATCTGTCAACCCTACAAACCTTCGGTTTCCGAGGCGAGGCTTTGTCCTCCCTTTGCGCCCTGTCACACTTCACCATCGTGACATGCACCCAGAAAGAGGCGCCAAAGGCCACCAAACTTGAGTTCGAGACATCCGGAAAGCTCAAGAGCACCAGTGTTGTTTCCGGTCAGCGAGGTACAACCGTCTCAGTCGAAAACCTGTTCAAGAGTCTGCCTGTCCGCCGCCGCGAGCTCGAAAGAAACATCAAGCGAGAATGGGGCAAGGTGGTCAACCTGCTTAACCAGTATGCCTGCATTCAAACCGGCGTCAAGTTCACAGTGTCGCAACAGCCTACCAAGGGAAAGCGGATGGTCTTATTTTCAACAAAGGGAAACCCCACCACCCGGGAAAATATCATCAACGTCTTTGGCATAAAGACAATGACTGCCCTGATTGCTATGGACCTCAGGCTGCAACTAAAACCTACCAATACTGGACTCCTGGCCAAGGTGACTGCTCAGGACGACGACGCCATGACCGAGGTTCGCATTTGTGGACACATCTCTCGCCCAGCTCACGGAGAAGGCCGCCAGACGCCAGATCGGCAAATGTTCTACGTCAATGGCAGACCGTGTGGGTTGCCTCAGTTCGCCAAGGTCTTCAATGAGGTCTATCGGTCATATAACTCGACTCAATCGCCTTTTATATTTGCTGATATTCAGCTGGACACGCATCTTTATGATGTCAATGTCAGTCCAGACAAGCGCACTATCTTGCTTCACGATCAAGGACAAATGCTGGATAACTTGAGGGAGTCATTGATAGAGCTTTTTGAGTTGCAAGACGTCACAATTCCCGTCTCACACACGCAACCACTTAAAAGCTCAACCTTCAGGGGGCCATCAACAGCCCCCTTGGGGCCATTGACCCCGGCTCGAGGTGAAGACAGCAGGGATGAATCGGAAGAACCGAGCAGTTCTCTGCCTTCAAATAGACCTGAAAACGGACCAGAGGGCAACAGGCCAACTAGGCGTGCTGTCAATGAGGACTCGGAAGAGGCCGTCAGCGATGAAGATAACGCGCCAAATACTCTGTCTACTGTTTCGGAAACGAAGGCTGGGCCATCCAGATCAACACCTGCTAACACACAGGCGTCAAACCTACTCGCCCGGTGGCTTGAGCGAAAGTCTGAGGCCCGGAAACAATCAGTTTCAGCTGCTATCAACGCGAATGACAGCAGAAGGGAGAAATCGCCTGTCGAAAAGGTGCCACAATATCCGAAAATGGCTGGAAGATATGACACAAAGGACGCCGACTCGGACGCCGAACAGGATACTGCAGAAGACAATGAACACGTGAAGAACATTTCAATGACTCAGGACGTGGTTGATGATATGGAAATGGATAGGGAAGAACTGCCAATGTCATCCATTCCACCCCCATCTCAGCCACCTATTCCAAAAGGGAGCCTCTTATCAATATCACGTCCACCGAAAAGGTCAGCACAAGAGGAGGTGGCAACGATCACTATCGGCGGTCATTCCATCACCAGCGTCATTGGTTCGTCCAATAAAAGGTCCCGACTGTCGGAGGGCATGAGGTCAGTCAGTCTTGGGAGTTCCCCTACGAAAGGGGTTAGGACCGTGCCCGTGCCTTCTTTCGGTGGCCGTTTGACCCAGCTGTTTTCTGCTTCGGGTGGTGCATCTCGCGGGGTATTAAAGGACCTCGAAATGACGACTGAGGATGTGGAAATGGTCGACGAGGAAGAGAAAGGGGAGGAAAACGAAGAGGGTAACGAAACAGAGAAAGGAGTGGATTCCGATGAGGAAGCACTTTTCGTGAGCCAAACGAAAGATGTGCCCGCAGTCGAGCATGATGATGTTGACGAAGAAGCTGAACACTCAGCTCGTCAAAATAGCCTAGCTGATGAAGAGGGCAATGGTCCCATTAGTGGCCAGAGCAATCAGAGTGTGGCGGAGGGCGATGATAATGGCGAAGTTGAACTTTCAGAAGATGCACCTTCCGAGTGTTGTCATCATGGCGACGATGACGAGAAGTATATTGATGAAGACGAGAAGAAGGCTAAAGAAGAGAAGAAGGTGCAAGAGATGATCAAAGCAGCTGAGAAAAAAGCAAATGAGCCCACTGAAGAAGGCGAAAAGCGATCTCACAGTTTTGTGAAAGGACGACTGAAACGGAAAGACTTGACTTTCAACCTTATCCAACGTCTAAAGACAAACGAAGGCGACATCCGTTCTCGTATGGAAACCTGGGCAAAGTATCTACCGAGAGCGGGCACAGCTACCTCGTCTACACAAGAGAGCAGCGATGGGAAACCAACCATAGGTCTCGACGCCGCCGACGCCGAAGAGAAACTCTCCCTCAAAATATCCAAATCCGACTTTGCCAAAATGAAAATCGTCGGCCAGTTCAATCTCGGCTTCATCATTGCCGTCAGGGAAGCCTCCTCCTCTCATTCATTAGAACATTCCCCAACTCAACAAAGCCCCGCTGCCACCACCCAAGAAGATGATGAACTCTTCATCATCGACCAACATGCCTCAGACGAAAAGTACAACTTTGAGCGCCTCCAATCCACCACCACCGTGCAATCCCAGCGTCTCGTCCAGCCCAAACCGCTCACCCTCACCGCCGTTGAAGAAGAAATCATCCTCGAACACCTACCTGCGCTCGCAGCCAACGGGTTCCAAGTGCGCGTCGATACCTCAGGCGAGTCCGCTGTCGGTTCTCGCTGCCAGCTTTTATCTCTTCCCCTTTCGCGCGAGACGACCTTCGGCGTAGCAGATTTGGAGGAACTGATCTTCCTGCTGGGGGATAACCCGACTTCGAGCGCCACCACCGCGATACCGAGGCCATCCAAGGTGAGAAAGATGTTTGCCATGAGAGCGTGCAGGAGTAGCATCATGATCGGACGGGCGTTGAGTCGGCCGCAGATGGAGAAGGTGGTTAGGCATATGGGCGAGATGGAGAAGCCGTGGAATTGTCCGCATGGGCGGCCGACTATGAGACATCTTTGTGGACTGGGGGCGGCGTTTGGGGAAGGTACCAAAGAAAAGGAGAGGGGATGGGATGAGTGGGAAGGGGTGGAAAGGGAGAGGGTTGATTGGAAGGCGTGGGTTAGGGAGAAGAGGGAAGACGGAGAGGAGGATGGAGGAGAGGGACAAGAAGAGGAAGAGGAAGAGGAAGAGGAGGAAGAAATGAGTGAATAAGGACAGGTATTAAATGTTCTCTCATAGTTTCGAATCACATCGTATCGTGAAGCATTCTACGAACTTGTGCTTGTGTGGTTGGAGACCTCGTGTTGTGAACTTGCAGCATTTTTGGGGGTTGAATGAAGTATGTAAAACTATTCTTTTGGCATTGAAAGTACATACGGCCATAGATAGTAGAAAACTCGGGATCCCGTCCGCTCTCCCATAGATAAACTACTAATCGCCTGACTAGTAGTTGGGTCGGTGACGACCAGCGAATCCCAGGTGCTGTATGTTTTTTTTTTTCTTTTTGACATTTTGACCTCCGTTCACCTCCATTTCGGATCATGTTTACTCTTTTGTTCCAGTGGGCTGTAGCGTTGTTGACTTCGGCATTGGCATGTCCAACCACAATTTACAGCGTCCGGATTCGGCGAAAGAACCTACGGCAGGGGGTCGGTCTCCATAGACAGGGGTAGGTAACGAGGACCCTTCAACGCTGACAAAAGCTTATGTGTTTCTTAATATGTACAAACAGTATTTCTGGCGTCCGCTGGCGTCCCCTCCTGTTCCCCAAACTCAACGCCATGTGTTTCCCGCTTCTAGAGCAAATGGGGTAGGATTCCGCACATGCGGGGGAATACGGGGGTGCTCTACCCGATTCCAGGTCCTCGAGAAATCCTCGTAGTGAAATGGGGAAAAAAATAAGGAATTTCACCTTCAATGATTATTGTCTATGTTGTCTTTTCATGGCGTCTTCTTTCCAGCCAGGGGTTCAGTCCATCCCGTTGCGAATATTGGTCCACGATACCAAGATCCGGCACTTGCTACAACCTGCGGCGCTGAAGAGCTGCATATCAAGGATAGCATGCGGGTTCGGGGAAACCTCTCCAAATCTCCAACATTTCTACGCATGCAGCAAATCAGCCTGATCTGCGGATGGTACAGACTGTCCTACAATGACATGCTTAGTGCAGTACCTACCTACTACTGCCGGACACTGGCCAGAGGCATGATGAACAAGTGGTTAGTAAGCCTTATGCTAGCAGGTTAACTAACTGCACTCCTACACTACTATTAGCTTCGGCCATATTTCTGAGCTCCATTCACATGCTCTGGGGTGTGGCTGCTGCCCCTCATCGTGGTGCTGATCTCCTTCTCCGAATTGCGGCCTTGAATTGTGTTGACTTGACAAGCGGTGACTGAGAATTGAAGTATAAGTGTGCTCCCTGAAATTATCACTATTCTTGTGCTGAACCATTGTTTCAGTCCATCGGTCTTTTGAAAGTTTGAAGAAACACAGAAATCATGTCGTTCAGCCGTGAGTCCAACACCTTCTCCAGTCACCCTTCCTCCAGACGCCAAAATATCTATACGGCAACAAAACTGACAATCGAATCTTATCTAGGTCTCGTAAGATTCGTCCCCAAGGGCGATGACTCCAAGGTCCTCATTGGCGAGCCCATCGACAGCCAAGTCGACGTCGGCGCCGCCGTCCGCAAGGGTGGAGATGTCGAAGTGAACGTCTACTCTGGCACCTCCGTTCTCGACGCCGGCTCTCCCACCGGCAACAAGGCCATCATCGGCCGAATTCTCTCTCCTGTCACTGCCCAAGAGGCCGGCACCATCCGCTGCATTGGCTTGAACGTAAGCTTTTGCCCCCTCACACGTGCCCCAAAACCTCCTCTACGCCTACTTAGATGCCTGCAATTTAATTCCCCAACCTGGCTGCACAACTGAGCTAAACGTTCCCGCCTAAACAAAAATAAACAGTACAAAAAACACGCCGAAGAAGCCAAAATGTCCATCCCCGAGATCCCCACCCTCTTCCTCAAGCCCGCCACCGCCCTGGCCGACCCCTACCCGGCGCCCACGCCCATTCCCAAGCACACCATCGAGTCGGACTCGGCCGACTACGAGTCCGAGCTGGCCATCATTATCGGCAAGGACTGCAAGAACGTCAGCGAAGCAGAAGCGCTCGACTACGTCCTCGGCTACACCGCCAGCAACGACATTAGCAGCCGCGCGTCCCAGTTTGCGCAGACGCAGTGGTGTTACTCCAAGGGTTTCGATGGCAGTTGTCCTATTGGCCCGGTGTTGGTTAGCAAGGAGGTTATTGGGGATGTGGGCGGGCTGAAGGTCAGAGGGTTGAAGAATGGGAAGGTGGTGCAGGAGAGTCCCTTGACGTGAGTTTTTTTTTTCCTTTCTTTTTCTGTTCTGTCCAGTTTTGTTTTCTGTGCTTTGTTTGTGGTGTTGGATGGGATGCTGACAGAACTACACAGTGACCTCATCTTCTCGGTTCAAGAAATCATTAGCTTCTTGTCGCAGGGCACCACGCTGCCCAAGGGTACCGTTATCATAACCGGCACTCCGGCTGGTGTTGGCTTTGCTAAGAATCCTAAGGAGTTGTTGCATGATGGTGATGAGTTCGTGGTGGAGATCTTGCCGCATATTGGCAGTCTGTATAATATCATGAAGAACGAGCAGTGAGAGGAGGATTAGGTATAATGGACTGATGTGAAATGGTTTGATTTAATGACTTCAGGCTGGAAAAGAGCAGTTAGCAAAACAGCAAACCGGTAGTGCCAACGAATGTTATGAACAAGTACAATGTGCAAAACTTTTTGCTCTCTTTGACGTTACAATCCGTTGTTCTGAAAGTGGGATATCGGCAAGTTTCCCTAGACCCAATTTTCACTTTCTTCGAAGATCTAGAGGAAAGGGTTTGCTAGGTCTATGGAATTTGAGCAGGATGACAAGGCAGATAAAGTTTTGAAACTAATGACTGGACGGAACTCAGGCTGTTTAACGAACCCGCTGGAAACATATTCAGTCTGATCTTCAAGATAACTCTTGTCTAGACATTTCGATGCTCCATTTCCATCTCCTCGCGTCTTCACACCTCCTGTCACCCAAGGTATTCGCGAATACACAAGCCACAGTACACAGTAAACCCTTTACTCGTTCTATTTATGGCCTCTCAAGAAGAAGAGAAGAGCCTTGACAAGTTCCCCCACCACTGTTTAACCCAACAAACTCGGCAAGTTCTCCTCAATATACTCCACCACCGTATCCGGTCCCTTGTTCACCTGCAACCCCTGCGGCAAAGAAAAAGTCTTGAGGTCCTCGCCGACCACTCCCTTGGCAATGGTAATGATCTGATGAGCTTCTTCGGGAGTCCACATTGATGCCGTGAACTGCAGTTCTGTGTTAACTATCTTTATATATTCTCTACGTTGCTTGGGTAGGTATGCGGACTAAGGGGGGCCAAACCAGAATGTTGGGTCGGTGTTCTTCGACTACAGACTTTACTTCTTCGATTGCTGTTTGGTTTGAGCCAGTCAGTCAACGATTGGGAAGGTAAAGGAGGCAAGAATAACAGAAACCACGGGAGCGAACACTTACAGGCAGCGTTGCCGACATGGATAATGGTGTACTTGTCCTTGACGTCTTCGACAACACGGCCGATGAGACGCTTGGCGCGGTCGGGAGCCGTGTTGACGGTGACGAGCTTGTAGGGGCCAGGGGAGGAGGACATTGTTGGTGTTGTTTATCTGTCTATTGTTTTCCTTCGACTGGACGGTGATTGATAGCTAGGTAATGGTGGGAGCTTGGAGAGGATGAAAAAGACTGATTAGGCGGTATGATTGGTAGAGGCAAGGGTTGTGATGATCCAGAGGAGCTTGCACATAGGTTGATGATACTGGGTAAAAGCTTTACAGAAGAATCAAGCTTCAAAACAATCCGCCAGTCAACATCATTAAGAAGTCAAAGATCTTCACGAGAAAAAAAAAACCCAAGCCTACTTCCAACCCACACCCACCCAAGTTCAATAGCTTCGAGATCACCTACCCGCGGCCCGACGCTTCAAGAATCAAAGTAAGTCCGCTCTCGGCCGCCTTTCAGTTCTCTTCTCAAACGCATGTCATTCATGTGACAGGCAGGCTGGGAGCCTCACAGTTGGTTGATCCTCTCGCCCATCAAGAGTCCAAGATGACGGGACGGGGACTGTTTGACGGAGTGAACTCCAAAAACGCGGGGAAGCGGGACATCATCACGCCCATCGTCACATCGCGCGCCCCGCATCCTGGAGCGGGTGTACGCAGTAGTTGAAATGCCGGCCGGTAACGGTGTCGGTGATCTCGGCATTTGTGACCCCGATTCTTCATAATGGCGACGCCTTCGACCTTTAGGGGTTCATAACAGTATATTTACTCGGATATAGAATCCCCCCCCGCGTACTTTCGTTTGCAAATCAACTGGATGGAAGTCATCTGCTCGTACACCATAGTGTATGATGTAGGGGACGGACGTGGTAGCGTCTCGAACTGCCATCATCGACGGTGCTGGAGCAGAGGATAAACCGCATTCAAAGGACATTGTGCGAGTTATTCACGCGAATGTTTTGAGCGTACATAGCACCAAGGGAAAGTGATCCCATTCCAGGGCCTTTAGGCTTGCGTAGCGCTGAACGAAACGTGGTTTTAAGGGGGTTTTGTTAGCGTCTTGGGAAAAGGCAAGGGCGAATGGTTTGCCCGCAAAGACAGGTCAGTTCCTCTTTCCCTTTCAGCTCATGCGACACAAGAGAGGAAATTGGCGTTCAATGCTTGTTCTTTGCTGACAGGGAAAGGAGAAATTTAAAGTTTCGGTTTCTCCTTTAACGCCCTTTTGCCACACGTCACCAGGTCTGGCAGTCACAGGGGTCGGTACCTCGATTCGCGAGAACGCCTGGAAAGACCCCTATGAAACACCCCAATCCGCTAGCCCCCCTTTTGCACGACCAGCAACGACGGGAGCATGTGACGACACTAGCCATGACGATAGGTGAAATGATTAGTTAATGATGAATCGTGTTTTCTATTGTTGGTGGTGGAGGAAAACCAATCTGTCGGTGATGGAGTTCGCTTATGTGATTAAAGCCATTAGCTGCTATCCGAAGCTGTTCGGAGATTTGCAGAATCTCGATCCGATCATATACGCGGTAGCAATGGAGCCGAGAAATGGTTGGGTGAGTTGACGACATACCAGTATGCATCAGAACGAAAGATACGCTGGGGTAAGATGAAGGCTAACTCCAGATGTTGTCCTGTAGATAGGCGATAGAAAATTCATCCCACGTGTAGCGCGGCATGAAAGACGACGACCGACACTGCTGCGTCACGAGACCCCCAGAATACTTACTGGCACCGCAAGAATCTTAATTACGGCGGAAGTGCAAAACGTAGTGGCATTGTGGTGTGTTTGAGGTGAAATCGCTATTCGTCCTAGGGATCGCAGCGTGATGTCTGTTGCGACCTAAGAAAACCGGGAAAGTATCCTTTCCAGCATCGGAATCGAGGTCTCAAAACTCTGCTTAAAGGGATGTACATAATATGCGAAGACAGACAAGACCTTCGTACGATAGGGTTCGGATTAAGAAGAGATGACAGGCCAGGGGACCCCGGCCCGCATCATACTCTGAGGGAGTACATACCAAGTTGGTTATGCGAACAGGGAATCAGATCCATCTTTTGATGCTCACTCCTCGGCTTCCAAGGAGAGAAATGCCTGTGTTTCCCTTGATCCTCAGCTCTCAAAGACCGAGACTAGAGAAGGAAAAGAAAAGACAAACACATATCCAGTGCTTGCTCATCAACATAGACGAGCTGAGAACGACTGCGGCCCGAAGAATGAGAGCAGCACGCCACATTGTGCACTGAAACATTGGATCAATGACCAATTGATGGCCGGATCGGAGCCATGGCGGACTCGTGCAGTACGCATCCATCCCCTTGGGTTCCCTAGGAAGCCGAACTCCGAATGGAGGTAGGGGTGTTTTGCTGGGATGTTGAATCACTAATCCCCGGTGTAAGTGGCCGGGAAGCCAGGCGTGCCAGGTACATAGTCAAAAATTGTCCCATTTGGCTGCTCATCAACAGCCTCGCCAAGCCAACTGCAACATATCCCATTCCGACTCGCCGAGTGATCGTCTGACTGGCTTCGGACACTGCAGCAAAACCCAACCTCCGTTTCTGCAGATACGGTGCGCATAATCTCTGAGGTGTTTTGTGGCTTTTGCTTCACATCTTGCCACAGTGCTTCGAAGCAGCGGACGCAAGCCCATCGGGAGAAGACAAAATGGGGCTGTAGGCAACCAAAGCACCGGGTTCGGTGGCATTGAAGCCCAATTTCTATGCCGATCATGCTCATTGCTCTTCCACATTGGACAAGCTTGGCAGGGCCAGCAGGGCCCAGCTGAGACCAGACAAAGGAGGTCGAAATCTGTGCCGATCGTCTGTCTGGGTATCAGTAGGGCAACGGTACTTATGTAGTGTATCTCCAAGGCTTACGGCTGATCCGAGTTTCCAAACGGACAGTGACTGTTATCCTCTGCAGAAGAAAGGAAAGGCACCAAGCACGTCGAAGCAGATATTCCCATGAGTAGATGGAACGAAGCAAACTGCTCTTGGGGCGCTATCCGCTGGTGTTTGGATCTCGTGTTTTGGTCTGACACAATGTCTCAGGCAACTATCACATCAACTGGGTACGGTCAATATATGCCAAGGCGAAGAAGGAACAAGCTTACGCCAGATTTGAACCAGCTATGGAACTGTGGAAGACACATGATAATCTTCCAGGAGAAAGATACGCTACAAGCTTGAGGCCCCAAGCCACGCTGCTGGCAACACGGATTCTGCATGGTGATAGGTAAATTGAACGTCACCTTGTGAAGAAGACACACTTTGCCATTCATACCATTGACAAACTCGGCCTGCTCTGGAAAATCTCATTGCCAGCCTCTTGGAACACCTCTTGACCATTGGGATCTTGGCGAGGCCCTTTCATGTTCTGCAAATGGCGACTGCTGCCCAAATGCTCGATCATGACAAATGCGGCATAAGATTGGGGATATGCAGGTGGACTATCTGGTATCAGTTTCGGCTGGCAGTTGCGTGGTTCGCATGATCGGGCAAGCGAACACTGAACGGCTAAGACCAATAAACCCGGTCAAGGCATCATTAGCAGCGAAAGACACGAATTCAGCTCCTTTCATGAGGCTGGTTAAGCTGATAGGCCTCGTAGTTTCGGCAGACGCACCAGTGAAGGGGTGACAGGAAGAATTCACGGTAGCTACCTACATAGAGTATGATGTCGAGTGTTATCAGACATGGTACTAGACAAAGTGCCGACTGCTATCGTGGCTATGTTAGGCCCATTTGGCGTCCTTGATACTTGCGTGGGATCCACACATTCTCGAGAGACCAGCATATGCCGAGATGCTGACACTGAGAGGCCGGTCTCCGCCAGTTGGATTTCCTGATGGTGATATTGTGAGACTTGTCATTCAAGCTTGCGCAAAAAGTACCCTGGTATGTACAATGAAAGGGTACTATGGAGCAGAGACTGGGCTATCGTACATAATCCCTCCCTTCGCCGGAGCAATGGCCGAAGAAGGTCGTGACGTCCTCTGCGATACCCTTTGTGAGTTGAATTTCATGAGAACTGCCCCTGGTGGGTTGTGTGTGTGACTAACTACCGTGGGTACCACGGTGCGATGCTACATCAAGCGGAAGGTAGCATGTGTGTACGTAAAATACGCCATCGGGACAGCACACTCACAGTGCCGGTGCCTACAGTGGGCAGGTAGTCAAGCAGGCATTGGTAACCGGTCATGTACAAAGTTGGTAGTGCCATCCATCGCTGGCGTGAGGAGGAAGGAGGACTTGCGACCAAGAGGAGTTCGGGAGAGCTTCCATGCAGAAATTGCTTGGCTCGAGTCCAAGAGGAATTGACCGCAATGATTGGCGGGGACTTCCAGGACTTTTGGTCGAGTAAGGCGTAGGTAGCGCTGACCTGGGAGCATCTTGAACAACATGTCTGCCAGAAAGACTTCACTTCTTTTGGGAGGAGTCTAAAGAAACGCAAACATCCCCAGTCCCGTCGATACTACCTTAACCATACTGGATCAGTTGGTTGGCGAAGCTGGTACACCGAAAGGAGGTGATTGAGGTGCCATGATGATTCCAGTCAAAGCGGTCCTATCGAGATGCGGGGATGTTGGGTAAGACGGGACGGATGGATGAAAGAAGGTCGCCGAAATGGCCTCGTCGGCGATTCTTGCGCCGGTGGGTGCACTTGCTGTCAGTAGGCGATAGCCGGGACAGGGACGGAGCGATAACATGCTTAGGGGAGGAAAGGACGATGAGTGATGACACCTTGTCTGGCCAGAGAGGTTCTCACCAGGTAAGCTGCTTAGAGGTGCAGGAGCGTAGCGAGCCATTGCGCGCCCTCCCGTCGCTTTGGAGGCTTTTACCATCTGATGTACGTTCCTTCTTCCACTTTGTACACTACCGTCGCAACGGCGGGAGGAGAAGGTTGCAATCGCCAAGTTCTGGGGAAATCAGATCATCACGGAGCGCGACGGAAAGTGTTCATCCCATGTCGTTAAAGGCAGGGTAAGGGCCCACGCTAGACCAGGGGTACGTACCGTCGTTACCATGTCACAGTACTAAGGAACCCCTATTGATACAATGACTGCCGGGCTGTAGCAAACTCCCCTCTCTTATAGAGCGAGGATTTCGACTGTCCGCATTTTTTAGACGTAGGTATGGTGTATAGCAAAACGGAAACATGCAATTGCAACAGTTGATGGCCCAGAAATTGTATTGATAGGGGTCTAATTTTAGCAGGAGGGTACACTTGTACTTATGTATATACTGGGGTATAATCGCTTGATCCGACCCACCTTCAAGGTCCCGCGGCGGTCGTCCAGTGGCTAAGTCTGTACACCAGTTCCTTCTTTTGCAAAACCCCATTGTCTACAAAAACCTTGAGCTGGCGACATTGATTGCAATAACAAGGGTTTGTGAATGTACACTATGCAGCGCATAAGGTTGCACCCCGTAGGGCACACTAGAGAACGTTTGGTGTTTTATGCATTAGTGCAAACTGTAGCCCCCGCTTGGCCCTTCTCAGATGCGACATTGCTCACTTCACTTTGTCAACTCGCGTCTTCACGCAGTTCGGGTCGGATGTTGCTTTGACATTTACCTTCACGCATCTCTTATCCGGACAAGGGAGGGCACAAACGGGCCACCTATCAACAAATTTGATAGACACTGGTACTCCGAGTATAGATATCACGCGCAAACACTTGCAAGTAAGTCACTGTTGCCAACAGTTTGTCCAGGTCAATATGTCGCTGTCGAAATGCGAGGGGTTGATAGGCAGTCTGCATCTAATGAGGAACAAATTGATGACTGCCGCGAGCCCCATAGTCCCGATCTTGTTTTCGTTTCATGTTGGCCTCCATACATTCCACTTTGGGCAGCCCCTGCTAAGCTTACAGCAGGGCCGGCTGGTGAGATGATCACCTAGGTAAAATACTTCTACTTCTACCGATGGCATGAGTCCGCAGGTACCCTACCCAGACACGCCGTGACATCTGGGCCATTCACGAATATCACGCTCGCGGAAATCAAACAAGCATTGGCATTGGCATCGTCATCAGTCTCCTGTCGTCTTCTTCCTGGCCATTTGAGCTCAGCTGGTCTGGGGACTACTGTAGGATTCGATCTGTGCTTGACTCCAATTCACGAAAGTGCTTTGCACCGAAACACATCACGTCCGTAATACTAACGTTCCGAAATATGGCATAAGGATAACGTTAACATACAATATCGATTACCACCCATCCATCGGCTGTGAACTGATAATCTGCTAGGACCAACGTGGTAACTCTGACGACAGTCTCTTCGGTGCAATTTACAACTACGGTATCTGAAACGTTCCTTGAGACTGATCTCAGAACAGAGAATATTTGATGAGAGATGAAATGACACTGAAAGAAATGGGATGACGACTCGTAAGAGCAAAAGTTTGTATCGTAGGACATGATCGCACGCAAGACTGCAATTCCTGTCCTCGACGTCGAGCTTACTACCACTGGACCTATCGCGGCTCCGTCCGTACGACCCGATGCCGTCTTGCGGGAAAAATACACCAATTTTTTTTTTTAGAATTTTTTTTTTTTTTTAAAAAAAAAACCCCGCATACTACCTTAAACAAACGACTCAGAGTACCAACCAATGTTTCCAATATGCGGCATAGGGCGAGAACCACACGTTTCTGCGCTACAATGGTATAGGATAAGTCTCTTGGGCTGCCACAGAAAGGCAGACTTGAGCGTATGTACCTATCTCTTCACACAAATGTAAAACTGGGTGTTTTCAGCTATGTACCTCGGATTCATCATGTCGGACAGCCCAGGGTCCCCCAGACCTCATTCGGATCGAGTGTGATAAGAATAGGTACGTCTATCAGGTATATCTACCACTCATTAGCCGAGCAACCAGATCCTCCCGTGGCTTAAGCTTGTCATTGAAGGTTGGATTTTCATATTGCACAAAGGTCAATCCGCTCCCGTTTTGCTATCTCGTGACCCTCCCGCCCCACAGTCACATTATCAACATGCGATGCGATCAACATGGTGGACTTTACTTGCTGAAAAGTCTGGTTCGGTTGGATGCAGTTGCATTCACGATAAGCAGTCCTTTTTGCGTTCATCTTTTTCTTTGTCAATGGCAAACACTGTTGTGATCTCCAACGGCTTGGCAAGCTAGCCGGGCTTCCACGCGTAACTGAACTTTATTTCAAGAATCGCTGTGGGAAATTTAGCGTCAATACCTCTCTGCAGCAGTTTCATTCGCCATCCGGAATGAGCTAGGGAATTTCCCCATTCATAATGACCCCCTTCCCCCCTTACATGCAAGGATCACGTTCGTCAAGATGAACAGGGCCCCTAGTGTACATTCATCCAAAAAAACGTTCATCGGGGAATCGGACGATTAACAAGCTAGGGCTGACTGCGTATTTGGCCAAGAAGTACATGTACGTATCGAGAAGGTCTGCGTACCTGTTTTGGGGTCGCACAACGCAAGAGGCAAAGGCACAGACAGGCACAAACTCGTGTGCCCCAAATGTTGTGAAACACGCTTTCCATCAGGGCAGTAGTACTCTTCAAGTGATGAATGGGATGGAGGATATGGCAGCCTCCTTTCAGGCGTCCAGGTCTCAGACAAGATTTTCCTCTCCCGTCCTAGGCTACGGTACGTCCCGTGGTTCGTTGCCCATCATGACCTCGCGTCGTCTCATACGTCCATCCAAGTGGAAGACATCGATCCGGAACCAGTCCCTCAATATCGCTGGAACTCGATGGACAATTCTACCTGGGTCTCCGTCTCCAGAAACCGTGATCATCCCCAATCGCAACAGCGGCGCCCTTGTCGTCCTTGTACCTGGATGTGTACTTGGCCTCTATCTCTCGCACACCCCACTGCCTGTCCATCTCACCCACGGGCATCATGGTGCCCTTGCTGCTTCTTGCTACCGAGGAGATGGCCTCCAGGCTACCCAATCCTCGCCCGTCTTGGCCAACATCAAAGGTAACCTTGTCTAAGGTACCCGTACAAGCCAAGAGAGGCTCTTTCGTCGACCTCGTCAGTGCCTGTTCACAACAAATCATTTGCTTGCTCACCACGTCCAATACCACCGCCAACACAGACGCTTCCTCTTCTTCTTCCAAAATTACTTAAGACTGCCTTCCGGTCGCTCTCAAGGTGCTTCTGACTTCAAGTGAAAGCAGCACCATCATCATCATCATCCTATTTATACCTCCTCTCTTCTACTATATCAACCTCCATCTAACTCTACCCTGTTTAATCTCATACATACACTGCCACACATTTGAGCTTGCACAGCGACAATAGTTGTCTTCACACACATACAAGTCACCACCAACAACTATCTTCCTCAACCTCAACCATCAAACCAATATTCAACATGGCCGTCAAGGAGTACCAGCCTCTTGTCAACCACTGCTGCTCTTTCTGCTGCAAGGCAGTTGACTTCGGTACACACGACTACTGCCCTGTGGGCGCCGAGTGTGCTAGCTGCCCATACTAAGACTGGCATCTCATTCTGAAGCCTAAAAGTCCCAGCTGGGGCTGATTTACTCGATTGGGCTGGCTGCATCATGCCACTCGGTCTGCAAGTCGTCTAAAGTCTGCAAATAACTCCACGCCAGCTCAAGTTCCACCTCCAACGAAAGTTCGTCATGGCCGATCCATGGCGTCCTTGCTTCGTTGATCTCGCTTCCTTCCTGTCAGCTTCAACCAGATCTCGGGCGGAACCCGCTCTTCCAAGCCACTCATTGGATCACGACAAATGACAAAACAGGGCCTCAAGGCTTTTCGTCCAAACACCCACGTCTACTACAACCGTCCATCACATCTCTCACAACGCTGTTCCTCACCGGCGATGCATGGCGTCTGGGAAATCGAACAAACAAACATTTCCCACCTCATTCACCTTCAACTGCGGCCAATAGACAACAATCGTCCTGCAGAAGCAAGTCTAATCTACAGTACACCTCTTTCAACCGTACGACACTGCATATCAGATGCATGAAACTGGTGCATTTATATGCGGCTTGCTTGCTTGACAACCACCGTGTATCTCTCAGCTCGGGCTCGACGGTCAAACGGCGGGAAAAGCCGTATTTTGTTTATGTCTCCTGTCATCTGATGGACGAGATCACCTCCACCCCTACAACATTTCCTCTATTCACTTGGTTCCGTCCTTTTGGACTTGGGACGTTCGAGGAATTTTCTTCAATATTTGCATAACAGTTGCTTTTTTTGGTTGTGGTTGGGATCGAGATGGTGTTGTTGGGATATTTGCCTTTGTTTTTTGGTTGTTTGGCGGAATGGGCCCTTGGCTTGCGCTTGCTTCTTTGAAATTTCCTTATCTCCTTTATCGTGCATAGCAGAGTGTTGAATTTTTTTGTCTTACCTGCTTGGAGTATGTTCGGATGGCGCTTTAGGAAGGGAATATCTATGCTCGGAAATTTGCAACTTTGGAAGGAGTCATGGAAATCGGAAAGGAGAACCTTCAATACTTAGTTAGTTCGCTGTTTGGCTTTGTCAATGTAACATGGTCATTTTACAATGTTAATATCTTTATAACTATGCTGATATCGAATTCACAGTTCAAATGAGGCCTCGTTCATTTGTTTACCTTAATTCACCTCAGCTTCCTCCCTTCGTTCCTACTGTACCTGACCCCAGTAGAGTCGTTGTTGTTGTTGTGTTGTTGTTGTATTTAACGTCTGCTTCCGCCTCCCGAAGGGCATGAGACGTACGGCAGCGGTGCCGTCCTAACCTAGTCTAGTCTACAAAGTACGTAACCCTACAGAACCTTCCTACAGCCAGAAACCATACTAATCCGAGCGCAAAAAGAAGGCCAGTGGCCATTGAGTCCCGAAATATCTATACCGTCAAACGCAGCCCATTACCAATACATCCCTAGCAGTAAGAGAAGAAAAAGAAAAAAGGATAAATAGTAAAAGAGGGCACTAAGCATCCCCCTCCCTCTCTACCTCCATCGCCTCTTCCTTCCGCTATAACTATTATACCCGCTAGTCGAATTCAACGTCTACTATCTCTATCGGTCGCCCCGGGCCGATTTGGAAGCCTTATTCTTCTATAAAGAAATGCCCCCAATTAATTATAGTACTTCCCTCCTCTATATATTCCTACTAGAGTATCCGCTGCCAGTCCTTCCTAGTATAAATTTAATTAAAGAATTTCAATGTTTATATCCTTATAATAAAAAGCCGTTAATTAATCTCGAAGGAGAGGGCAATATTCCTTTATAAGGTAGCTTCGCCCAATAGTAGGAAGACTGTATACGCCTTCTTGCAATAGAAGGGGTAGATTAGGGTCTTCCATTTGCTATACGAGTAAGTAAATAGGGCGTCCTCGTACTTAAAGCGCTTATAATACTTTTTAAAATCATTATAGCCTATCTAGGCCGCTATTAAGTAGTATAGCATCGCACGGTCCAATTCTTTCAACTTATCGGTAGGTTTAATTAAGGCCTTTAGGCGGTAATTGGTATAGGACTCTAATTTATTCTCTACCTACTATATTTTGAAAACTTCCTAAGCCTTTCTCTTAATTAGCCGTTTAAAGTAAGCGAAGGTAATTATCTTATTTACTAAATCGCCGCCCTCCGCTCTAGCTTTCACTAATTCATTAGCAATTTCATTTCCCGTAATACTTATATAACTGGATACCTATCTTACGCCTATTAAGTCCTAGCTATAGTCCTTTTAAACTTGCTGGAACTTAAGAAAGGCTATTTAGAACGATAGGGCTAGAATCCCCTATAGGCCCTAGATAACGGCGGTATTATTAAAGCAGACTATAATCCTCAGCGCTATAGCGCCTACGAACGCTACTATAGCCTTAAGGCTATATTAGGCGCTCTCTACTTTAATATTAAAGACTTTTATTTATATTAATTAATTATATTCTCTACTAATTTCTTTTCTACCTTAGTAAATAATATAGCCAAAGCTTACGTATTTACTATTAGGTTTATTGTCGTTATCTTCCTATTTGTACTTTTAGCGGGCGATTTACTTCCCGGTTATAGAACCGTTATTATAAATAATAATTTCGGAGGGGTCTAGCTATTCTAGCTACTCTACAAAATCCTTTGCCGCTTATCTTTTAAAAATATAGGTAGGGTTTAAGTATATTATACCGTTATATACCAGGGGTTGTAATAAGGGCCGAAGGAAAGGGGTAACAACCGTTGCCGTTAATTTAAGGGTAGTCTAGCGGTAGGCAAGCCCTCTTGCTAAAAGTCGGAGGTAGGCGAAGCAGGAAATAAGGGAGTGAGTAGCGTTTAGGGTAAATAGCCGTATAGCGTGCCATTGTCAGATAGATTCGAATAGTTATTCTACTAAGAGTAAGCTAGCCTTACGGTATAAGGCCGTTAAGCGCGTAGTCTACCAGACTGGTAGGCTAGTACGAACCGTAATATTAATAATGATTTAAATTTTATTAATTTAATTACGTAGTCTACTATTAATAAAGGGAAAAATACTTTATTTCTAAATAGTAGACTACTTTTTAAAGCCCGGCTACTAGAATTCGGCGCTAAAGAGTACCTTAGGGAGTACAACCGCTTTTATTACCTTAATTATTAGCCTAGGAGGGGCGCTTATATAGATTTTATTAAAGGATTTAATATAGGTAGTAATAATCCAGGCAGACGCTATTTTCTTCTTAATATAGTATTTAAAGTTAAGCTTGTTGTAAAGCTAGACTCTATATAACGAACGGCGGTCTAATCTACCTAAGTGAGATAGCTAAAAGTATAAAGACTATTAGTACTATTCGGTAAAGCCAAAAGGTTTATAATAAATATACGTACGTAATATTAGTTTCGGTAATAATAATCTATTATATTGACTACTATCGAACTATTTAATAATCTAAATTCTCTAGTGGTTTTTTTATACCTATTCGTCCTATTATAAGATATCTATCTTCGGTTGTTTACGTAGTTGTAAACCCTGTAATTTGTATTGATAGTTTATTCTAGTATTATAATTTACTATAAGCTTTAGCTCACCCGTAAGTACTAGTTCACTATAAGTACTAGTTTATTAGTAAGCTACCTATATAAGTAAGCTATTTATTACGCCTTTCTAAATTATTCTCTAATTTATAGGTTATATTAATTATCTATAAGCAGGGCTATTGTATCCCGAAGGTTTAGGCGGCCTTTATATTGCTTAAATTCGTAATATAATACTTCCTTTCCTTAGCTAACGTCCTCGACGGCTTTACTAACTACCTACGTTCTTTTTTTACCCCTTATTTCTATATTGTTCCTTTTACTACCTAAGTATAGTAAATCCTTCCTTTCCTTTATACTTATCGCTATATCTAATCATATTATGAAATATTCAATTATATTGTTTATTTAATAGTAGTAACTATTATTTACTATCGAATCTTTTAGTTCTATAATTATATTTTACTAACGCTATTCCAACTATAAATTTATTTATAAAAAGCTTTTAGAACGAAAGAAGTATAGCGAATATATTTGTAGTATTCGTCCTTATAAAGAAGTAAATTATAATACGGAGTATAAATATCCGAATTCCCGACTATTAATTATTTTTATTAACGCTCTTTTAATAGTACAAATAATTATAGAGAATAAGAAATTAAAGTAGGAGTAGGCAGCGCTTATAAAAGTGATATAAAATTATATACTTTATTTAATTGAAGTTTAGCGGTAGTAGGAGGAATTAGTTATAAAGGCCTATAAAGTAGTTTAAGTTGCGGAGGCCGAATTAGATATTTAGAATAAAAAAGATAGGGCTATTAGGAGGGAGTTTAAATTTCTATTTATAATATTATTATTAAAAGCTTTTACTTCCGTTATTCCTATATTCGTAGATTGGTTATTCTTAAATAATTCGGCCTTCCCTACCTTCTAATTAAGTAGTCTTCTATCCTTAATCGATCCGGGTTTCTCCAATAAAATTCCTCTAGCTTCTTAGAGTAATTTAAATTCTTAATAGGTTCTTAAATATTATTTTCAGGACCGAACCCTTCCTACTTAATAAAATATTCTAATCCTCCTTTCTCTATTCTTAAATCCAAAATTTATTCTATATTTTATTCTTCTTCTTCGTCCTTAATACTAATTTGCATATTAATTCGTACGTTTTTAAGTACTAATTCTAATAGTATAATATAGAATAAATATAATTTTAGTTTTATAGTATTAAGAATATCTAATTAGTATATTATATTAGAAATCTTCTTCTTAATTTTAAAGGGTCCTACTTATTAGTTATTAAATTTCTTATTAGGTCGTTTAATCCTAAGATTCCTAATTAATAAAAGGATTTTATCCTCCTCCTTAAAGCGAAATCCCTCGAGCCTTTTTAGGTTGAAATACCGGCTCATTTTTTATTGAACGAATTCTAATTCTTCCTTAAGTTTCTTATATAATATATATAATTTTCCGGCTTTAATTAAAACCCTAGGGACGTTCGTATTTAATCCTTCTAAGAATTCTAATTTATACTTGTAATTTATAAAGAAAGGTAAAACTTTTATAGTTTTTATAAGGGAGGTATTATATATTAACTACGCTATTAGTAATAATTCTACCCAATTGTTTTATTCGAAATTAATATAATTCCTCAAGTATTATTCTATAATTTAATTAATCCTTTCCGTTTATTTATCTACCTATAAGTAATATACTATTAATATTCTATTTTTAATACCGAATTTAATTATTAATACTTATTAAAATTTGGATATAAATTTAATATTCCTATTTATAATTTATTCCTTTGGCTAACTATATATTAAAATAATATTCTAATAAATTATATTTATAAATTGCTCTACTAATTACGTTTCTTTGTACGGTAAAAAGTAGTTTTATTTAATTAATTTATTTACTACTATTAAAATACTATTATAAGTAATTCTTATTATAATATTTATAAACGGTAGTAATTTAATAATAAAATTTATAATTACCGAATTCTATAGCCTTTCTACAACTTTTAAGGGTTCGAAGAATTTATATAGCTTATATCTTATAACCTTAATTTTATTATAATACTTACAAACTTATAATATTCGAACTACTTCGGTTTTTATTCCTAAAAAGTTGTAGTATTGCTGTATCCGTACTATAGTTTTAGTAATACCTATATATCCTCCTATTTTGGACGTATATATCCCTATAATAAGCGCTTTGTACTATTCGGGCTAAATGTAGGCCTTATTATAGTATTATAGTTTATTATTTTAAAGGACAATCCTTTCTT